CACGAAGCAGCCGGTTGTATTGTAAACAGAATCATTAAAGAGCGTTAAATGAAGCGTGGTCTGCGCGCCACTTAGGAAATTGGGGCATCTGCTTTTGTTGATCATAATGGTGGAGGGCGCATTGTGTTGATGATAATTAAAATAGAAAAGAGAAAATTATTCTTATAACAGCTGCGGAATGGCTCCCGTTATTATTGGGGAGATTTATGACTGAAGTATCACTCTCGTTGTTTAAAACAAACTTCGAGGTCAAGTCTACAGACTATGAAATTATATAAAGACTGGAAAACAGTATAACTGAATGAAAATTTTAACAAAAGACTACGTTATTTTGGTAAGCAATAAATAGCGAGTAATAAATAAATACGTGGAACATTGTTCTATCAACGATGTAGTTATTAAACATTATAATAACAAAACTAGTTTGAAGAATGTAAAAAATCTCCATATGTAAGTCTTGTAACTCCACGTAAAATATAACTGTGTTGTATACTTGAAGTGATTAAGCAATATAGAAGGTTAGTCGGTACATGCGACCATTCATGTTTGTTGGTCCTAATTAATTAGAGTAGGGTCCACGCGCGAGTCGCCCTTTGTCCCTTCGACCTCCATTCAAGAGTCAAGCGCTCCTGCAAATTACACCGTCATTTCACAACAAATTAATATATAACGTAAAATATGCCTGTACAAAGTAAATTGGTTGAAGGTGATCGAATTGTTTTAAATTCAATTTAACTTACGTTTGTTGTAGATATTACAATAAGTTTGTTTTCTTAAATTTCTTTTTATCGCACATAATACAAGTTACAAAAGATATCAATGTAAATTGTTTGAGATTGAAATTATAGCGTCGCAAGAGAAGAGATTTTCTGCACAATAATAATTAATGAATGTTCATTAAAGAAAATATGTTGAAGGAATTTCTCTGTGTTCTGAGATAGCGATAAGAAACGTACAAAGTGTTAACTTACTTCCAGAAAAAAAATTACGACAAAGTATTACTATTGAAGGGATAGTTTTAAAAGAAATTAGATATTTCTTTCAAGTAATGAATATTACTTCAAAACCAACATGTTCTTTGTAGTTGAAAAAACGTGTTACCTCACAATACTAAATTAGCCAAATAAAATGTACATCATCTGGTTGAGTTATTTATGTTAAGCATAAATTATAAACACTACAAAATACTGATCCGATCTATCACAGCTGTTGAAAGTGGTAACACTTTGACGGCGGGTATGAAGTAGTTATTCGCTTTTGTCTCGAAGGTTTCTGACAAAGCCGAGTCATAATCGACCTCTGCTATATGCGAGTCAAATGACGCAAATTAGCAGCAAATTGCAGGCTCTCAGACGACACCCACTCCGCCGCCCTCTGCTGCCCTCAGCCGCCCTCCGCGGCCCTCCGCCAGGGCTCGAGCTTGTCGCGACGAGTGTCACGTCATTGCGCCAGGTAATTCCTATCATTAAAGTTTCCAAAGTATACTTCACTACATACTTTGTGTCTTGTGCGAAGAGCGGGTACTCATTATGCTCTGTGCCCTCTTAATGCTGCGTATTTACTACGTGTAAAGTAAATTAATGTGTAATGTGCTGTTATTTATTTACATAGGGATAGAAACTTTCTGAATTTATCTGTTTATTATTAATTGCAGCTGCTCTTTGCCATAATATTTATAAAATGTGGCGTAAATGTAAGTTTAACGAAGCACATGTCAAGAATGGTCAGTTGTTAAACTCCGGTGACACGTGTCGTTATCACTGATGTCAGCAGAGACCCCTCACTGACGGTAATTATAATTAAATGATACGCCAGTAATCAGAATTAAAACAATTTGTATAGCCTTAATGATATCGTTTTCATGTAAACATTATTAACGTCGAAGATATATTTCTACACGAAGACCATGGATATAGGTTAAGTTATTATGGATACCGGAAGTAGTGAGACAAAGTAAGGGAAACCATTTGTATCCGGCGGCCGGTGCCCTCCATTGGTACTTGTACTTAGGACGAGCAGTGGGACGCATACATTATGATAGTAATAAAACATTCAGTGTACTGGATTGATTATTATTTACACATTATCGGTTTGCAAATATAACAAATTGATTTAAAACTATCTTATTTGCAGATCTGAATGTGAGTATTTATATTGCGAGATTGGATTTGTAAAGACGACAAAAATGAAAAACAATGTACTGTTATTCAAGCAACATTAACGTCACCAAAGTGACTCGCTATTATATCAACAAAAAAGGTGAAAGTAACAAGATAAAGTCGTTTGCTTAAAAATATCCATAATACAGGCATTGCGCAGCGGAAACTCGTCAATGTGATGTAGCGGAGTGCGGCACAATAGCTCCGGTCTATCAGGCTGATTGACGTCGCGTCGCTTCGTGCCAAAACGAAGAAAAATATGGCTTTGGAGGCTTTATTAAGATTGATAGACGACACCGCACCGCACCGCACCGCACCGCACCGCGCGGCGCCGCGCCCGATCAACTTTGCATTGGACAAATATGGACACATCGATTATAATTTGGAAAGAAAATAACAATTGCAAACACAAAACGATTAAGCTTAGCGATGATTCTTTGTTTTTTTGATATAAAGAAAATGGAAGAAATCTTTTAGGTGTCTGAATGATTGACAAGGCTATAGGAAGTGTAGAGCTAGCTCCGACGGAAAGGTATCACCTTGAAAGTGTGAAAATAAATGAAAGCGCAAAAAACAATTTTTTTATTTACCATTTTATTTCACAAATATACGCGACAGCGACTGTGCCTTTTTCGAAATAAATCTACAGTTTGGTCAGACAATAAAATGGGCATTTAAGGTTCTTTTAAAAATGGTGTTTATTTTAAAGAAAGTTTAAACTCAGCTCTTACAAAGTCATGAAACATTTGTCACTGTTGTGCAATAAATTCTATTTGTGTCAATTTAGAATTAAAATACTTGGAACAGATAAATTAATTTTTCTTAATAAAATATTGAACAATCCGAGCGGAGAAATTCCTAATTACAAAATTGCGCAAAAATTACGATTAATTTTAAATAAGCAACTTGAAAGGAAACCTTTCGACCAAAAGTAAAGCGAAATTAGAACAGTTCTTTTAGTTATTCTGTTTTCCTTTTCAGTTAGTTTTCCCATCGAGCGCCTCTCCGCCGAGGAAAGCAATTAGAAATCTCTTGGAACGTTAAAACTTTATAAGTCAACAGAGGAGACATTGTGGGAATCGGGTCAGGTGGACGCGGCAGAGGAATTTAAATACAATTTCATGATCAAATAACTCTGTAATATACAGATGTTACATAGTTTCATTTGAATATCACAAAAAATCTTCGGTAAATTTCATCAGCATACGTAACTCTACACAGAGCTTTATAATCCCGATTTATAGTAAAATGCGTTTACGCGAGAGGCCATAATTAATAGGCCCGCCAGCGCTGGCCTGCAGTCCGGCCGGCGTTTAATTATGCCTGCGACAAGTGATTTCACATCAAAGGCCCAATCGCCGCATTTACTCCAATTACTTCAACCAATCAGGTCCGTCCTCCACCGCTAGAGCTTTCCTTATCATTATCTGCACAAATCACCGGAGAATTCATTTACCATCGAAATAAATTAGCGATCTCGAAGTACAAATTAACATTTTTAATTAAGTAATAACTTGTCGTGAAATGAGGTCTGTGTGTGGATCAGATAAAAGGTAACGACTCTATCAGCTAATGGATTACTTGTTTAGTGCTGTGAGTTAGTTGACTAGCGCAGTAGCCGTGGGAAATGAGTATTATTGTGTAATCTTTTACACGAAATTTTACGTTTGATAATCCAGCTTATTTTCATAAATCTTTAAATAAATTATGAATTGTTCAAAATACTTCACAATTGGTAAGTGTAAGACTCAACAATACAAAGAATTCGACTATTACACTTTGACCCTGTACTGTGTCCCTTCACTTTTACACACTAAAAACGTTACACAATTTAATCAAAATAACTTTCTCTCGAATAACAACTTGAAAGAGGCCATTATCTGTACATAAATTACATGAATAGGGAACTTAAATATGTATGGGAAGGGGTTGTTATTACTTATTCAGGGTTGAATTAATTCTCTCAGCCCTGTCACTGTTGCTTTCAATATTAAGTAATTAAATCATCATTAAGAGCAAAGGATTTGCAAAAAGTGTTTCATGTGATAAAGATTCACGAGATAAAACAAAAATACATTTTTTAGATCTAAAAAATATTTCTTTTTCGACGCTACAATAAAACTACGCGTTCCTACGTTAAATAACGCTGAGAAATTTTTGACATAAATGTCAATACATATTAAGGAGTAGACTTTAGGTAATATTGCGTTACGCGTTTCAAGTATTCCGACAGACTCTGGCTTGTATTGATTGAATTTCTCAGAAGATATCGAAGCCGAGTACAAAAGGAAAATAGTGAACAGGAATAATGTAATTGTTTTCATACAAAAGGTTACAAGCTCTCAAGTAAGTATTCAACTTTAATATATCAAATGATACTTTGGTAGACAACTTAAATTGTTATATCTGAGAAATTTTGTCATTTCATTCCATGATTTTTAAAAACTGCAACGAAATGTATATTGCAAAATAATCCAGATTATTCCAGAAATTCAATTAAACGTGAACTATTTGCAGGTGAGGTGTGGGAGGACAGCGAGATGAAGAGTGAAGTGATAATTAATAGAGAAGCGATGTCGTTGTCTCGACGTTTCATTATGTCGACAGGTGAGCTGACGTCACAGCTTTGAGCGCCGACGTCACTACAATTATTGCTACAAATTGAACTTTGAAGACGATTGACATGCCCCACACAGTGTAACATGAGATTCGCCCGACGATGGTCTAGGCTAACATTAATAACGCCTTTTCGTAGCGGTTGTTTTTATTGTTTTTATTCTCTAGAGGCATAGCTCCTTGTGACGCTCTTGCTATGTAATATTAGCATTTAGCAATTTAAAATTATAATAAAAGAAAGAATAAATAGTTGTTTTTTTCTACTAGTTATTCAAAAAACCTAAATCTTAAGAGGAATATCGAACCCAGGAACCTCAACTTCGAGTAATTGCTGTCCGGGACACGCGGCGGCGCGGTGTAGCGGAGCGCTCCGCGATATCTTGATTTGTGCGAAGTTTATAAAAGATAGCCGCTCTATCGTAAAAGATAACGATCACAGAATATGAAAATAAAATTTATTTGAATGAAGCACACGCTTTGTGACCCCGGCGCCGGCGCGGCTCCCATTCGTTCCGATAAGGACATGCAAATTGGCGAAGCGAATAAAAATCTCCCGACAATGTTCTGCGTTATTATTTATGGAAATAGAGTCGACTCTCGGTGGGGCGGGCGCGGGGCGGGTGCGGGGCGGGCGCGGGGTCGCCTCATATTTTTCTTTCGAAAAATAAAATACTTCGATGCGACACGCATTTGTCATGCAAATTTATTCAATCCCTTTTAGCGTTCTCTTTAAACCGATAGTGATTTGTAACAGAATATTGATTCGCTGAATGAATAATTTTTTATCAGAGAACCGTTCAATTTATTTGTTAATGTCCACTTTTCGTGTTGTTAGTCATTTATAAGTAAAAGAGTAACACGAACCCGTCTAGTATGTTTTGTTTCATACTCAACTACGGAAATAAATTATAAACCAATGTTATGTTAGAAAGTTAGTAGTTTTTGACGTAAATTCATTAACATTGTACAATAGTGTTTAGTAACTATTTAAACAATGACTGATGTCGGCTGCATGTCAGAGCTCGTACCTCTGAGCTTGGAGCATAATTTGCGTCGTTGACGAAGATTGTACAAACTTAAAGCAGTCGTAGTTACATCGCTTGATTTTCGAGCGACGCCTTCGTGTTTTATTCAGAACTCTAAGATCCCGTACCTAAAACATAAATTTAATTAAAAAGGAACGCCACAAGCAACCTCAGAATTGTTTATTATTTATTTGCCAATGAATAAATTATGTTCGTTCAATTTAAACCCGCCTCGAGCACGGCGTCATACAACTACGATAACTTATTGGCTAATAGCTTATAATAGCTTATTAATAGGCTTTGAAAAAAAAACTTTAAATTAAATATTTCATTCCTATTAAAAGTATTTTTATTGACAAATGTATACGTATGTAGGGCGTGTGTGATCTGTGCAAGAAAAACCTCTCGATATTCCAGGGCATCGATTTAACAGCTTGCAGCTGGAAAAAGTGTGTTAAGTTGCCTGATTTAGGTCGAAATCTCTGTAAAGCCATTATCTACACAAGGTTCCATCTGAACGGTCAAAGTGGTGCTTGTTATCGCACAGTCCTGTGTCTGCTCCATCACTTTGTGCAACAACTGCTCACGTGCTTACATAGTCGTATACACCACAGTGTATATGTCATTTATTATAATTTGATATTTACATCAAATCGTTGTTTTCATATTTATTTCCTAAGCTTTGTTAATTGTAAGATCATTCTGAATTCTATTTTCATCACTTCAAATTTAAATTGCGTCTTAATTTGTAAGCAAAGCTATATTTTTCCCATTAAGATTTAACATTGCTCAAGACTCAGCCTCTGTTCGATGTTATTAATATAATTAGTAGAACTGTAAGAGGTGAAATTATTTGTCGATGTATGTAACAAGGCAGTGCGGAATGCCACGGCTGGAGCGGGGCTCGCGCTCCAATAAGTAGCGACGCGAGCGCTCGGCTGACGGCGGCGGCCCCGCGCGCTACGACCAAATTGCATTTCAAAATGCATACGTATGCGCATTATGTTGCAAAAATAGTTTCTCACTTTCCACTCTGTACCAAATAGTCATGATTCTTGAAATTTTAGACTAGCTTTGTGGCTTTTTTTGCATATTCGAAATTGTGTTTTATTTATAAACAATTGCAGATTTCTGTTCAACTTCTGATACATAACGCACTGAATGATGAATTCTTTGAGTGTAAATAAACTTCAAACACGTCTTTACATGTTTCTAAAATGATCTGCATTCCTGATCACCGAACAATGCAGAACAAATCGTTTGACGCAAATTTGGACAACAAATAAAAGACCGAGTAAATAAATCATGTTCAAACAGCGAACAAAGGATTGAATAGCTTCCATGAATAAAATATGAACGGATGGCATAATATTATTATCGGGCTTAGCTCGCAGGACAATGGACAGGACCTTCCCTGGCGGCGGGCGAACGGTTGAAAGGACAGTACGGATAACCTCTCTACAGCCGCAGCGCCGCATCGGGCATGTAAATGTACGTATTGGCACCTTTGTACTCCCGTTACCAGGAAATGATACATTTCACCCTATTACCTTCGCCGTGGAATGTATGCAAACGTCGCTGAATACGGAAGTATTATAGATATTATACTTTTCAATACCGCTTTTGTAATGTCTCTTCTTTTATGACCTCCTGGTCACATCTCCTTCTTCATATTCACATCTCACACTTCAATATCTCCTTTCTTACGAAGTATGAGATGTGAATAGATTCGTCATCTCTCCAGTGTTAAAGGAGTCAGTGAGAGTTCTGGTTTTGGTTCCGTAGATTATTATATACCCTTTTTCATAATTTCAAAACATTTTCTACTGTAAGTATAACACTCGTCTTGCATTCAAAAAAGTTTTCCAGTTATAAAATGTTCTACCGATATGTAAAGCTGGTCTAAATGAATACTCTAAGCTGTTACAAAGGAACGAGGTCACACTTTACGATCCATCAGAGACCAGCCCGCGCCCCTTGCAGACCCCCCGCCGCCACCCGCCAGCAGCCCCCCACAGACCCGCCATTGTTCAAGCGGAGTGGCCGCAGATAACACCTTTAAAGAATTAACGACGAACTTACTTACTTTATGATTCATAAAAATATAGATAAAATTTAACAAAACGTAAAATTCCCTGCTTGCCGTGGCCGCTGTTCGCGAAATTATTGTTTTTATAGTGACTTTGATGTTAACAACCTTAGTTTAAACTTGGTAGCACTATGATTTATGATCTTATAAACGTAGTTTCGACAAGTAAAATCTGTTAATAAAACATGTCAAGAATTAATAGTAAACAATAATGTTAGATGGACGAGTTAGCCATGGATGTCCACTACCGTATAACGTTGACTACATCGTATTTTAGATCAGAATGCTTTATGTAACTCTTAATTAAGTGGCACAAATAGCGCTGTTTTAAACAGTTTTGAAAGTATAGATAAAAAGCTATTTCGTCGTTAAAGTGTGTTTATTCAGAGCAGATCTGTTGAGAGCTGAGAGCTGAGAGCGGACGAGGAAACTCGCAACTCTGCGGCGCTTTGTACGTTATTGGGAGGAACGGGAATTACGTTTCGCCTTTCGTACACTTCATTTGTTTTAATTGTACCCTCTTTTTTCCACTTTCCCCTTTCCTGAAGCCGGCTTTAAATGTTAATTGTATTTGGTTTGAGGTAAAGTTCTTAAGTACTAATAAATTTTAAAGTAGTAATGTTTCCCTTTTAAGTGTCTCTTATACTCGTATAATGTAATTAGCTATAGGTAAAAATAAAATTGTATTACGATTCTTTCATCTTAATTTAAGTGTGAGCAGGCTTGTGTTTTGTGTAGGGCGTAGGTACCTAGTTTGTCCTGGAGTAAGGTCTTGGTGTCGCAGCGCACGAGGCACAGCACGACGAGCAGCGCGACGTGCGGCGGCATGGCGCTGGGCCCGCCGGGGGGCCAGGTGGGGGGCCGGGCGGGGGGCGCGCCGGGCGGCATCACGCCCGCGCCCGCGCGCCGCACCAGGACCCGGATCTCCTCCGACACATGCTGCGCAAACTGCAACAAACACTTACTTTTACACACTTGAAATATGCTGTAGTTTCTGGTATATTTAACGAAAGTGCATGTGATAATTTCATAATTCAAAACGCTACATGCCAGCAAACAGCGAGCCAGAATCGACCCTATTTGCTATGAAATTTTCATAGAGCGCGGCTAGCTCATAAACTTTACGTAGTCTTGTCGGGACATGGACTGGGGACAGGACGTTAAAGGAGGGGACCCTACAAACGCCTGTTTTTAGACCGTATAGGGCGCCGCACGATATGCCGGGGCTAGTTTCCCGTCCTCTAATATTTTATGACAGACAGTTCCTTATCTTTTCGTAAGCGGTACTTTTGCCGCCCACTTGTTTACGGCTTCCGCTACTTTCCGACTGAACAAATTAAATTCCTTCCTTTTTTCCTTTTTATGATATAAACTTGTCTTTTTGCTTTTGCATGAATGTAAACCATTTGACAAAACATTAATGAGCATAACGAATAAAATACGTCTTTGCTTTCGAATATGAAATAAATTGGATTGATATTAAATCATATGTGGATAAATAAGTTTCCATGACGCGGCCGTTCTCTGTTGAAACGCATTTCATATCGGTGTGGATTAAAAGGCTAGTTGGTGAACAAACGAACTGTTTTTTCATCGCGCATTTCATTCATTCAATTTATAACGTCCAGTTCGCTTAATTTTTCAAATGTGTATAAAACTTGTCATTACCTTTTATTTAAATGCAGTGCAGTTTTTTTAATTCCAATTTAATTTAACTATGTTTGCTAGAAGACATAACACATTAATAGTGGTAGAGCCCGCTTTAACATCTTTGCACGAATGTGCCGGCTCGCCCGGTGTAATACCACGACCACACAGAAAACAGGCGTGAAGTGGAAGCAACTCCGCGTTTCGTCTGATGAGTATGGTGCCGGAGGCCTAATTTTAGTCCCTTTTCCTTTCCACCCTTTTCTTAAGAGGAAAGGATGGGAGGAAAAAGTGGATTGGACGGTGAAGGAGATGCATAGGAAGGAGAAATGTCCTCTTTATGTGCGTCTCCTCCTCCGTCAATTAGGCGAGGTAACACATCTACAATAGCGGATGTTTATGGGCAGCGGTCGCTTTCCATTTCGGTGGATTCAGGTCACGCTTGCTCGTTTGTTACCTCGTATTATAAAAAAAAAACATATAACATAGAGAATATTAACACTTTCACCTCTTCTTAATAAGCTCAATAAGAGCAAGATAATTCCAAAGACAAAATGACTAGAACACAGTTAGCTAAAGTAAACAATCGCAAATCAATAAGTGAGCAATGAAAACTTCAGCTGTGTGAATTATCTGTAGGATGAAGGGTGTATTTTAGAGACAGTATTATTAGGTGAGGAAAGCCATCCGTTATCTCATAAAGCCGATGTTTACACAGCGGTCACGAAGACGGATCGTCGCACTTCGCGTCGCAACGACAACGCTCGGGGTAACTCCTCAATGGTTAACCTATTACTCGCGTATGCGCCCGCTCTCGCTCCCGCCTCCGATCCCGCGTGTCCTACTTCTCCCTCTATATTGAAGCAGATTTACTAAACTGCAACTTTATCTAAATTCCATTCACTCATTCAATAGACAATATTACATTTTTAGTTACGGAGTAAATCATTCTTTTTCAAGGAAAATTGTTAAGTTTAGTGTACACTAATTACTCCATTATAAGGTAAATATATCTAGTAACGAAAAATGTATTAAAACCAGTGTTTATTTTATATAACAATAAGTGTAGTATAAATTGAATACGCCGCTATTTGTTTGTAATCGATTAAATATAAATCTGTTTGTGTTTTTGTTAAGTAAAGTTTTAATAGCACGACAAATGCTCGAGCTGAGATACAATCACTACTAAATTGGATTTAATTTACTGGATTGTGATACAAATCGATGTAAAAGCTTTTGTTGCTCCGAACGTTGGTTAAACCATTTTGATGGAAATAATACATTTTAATAATTTAATCGAATAAGAGAAAAGAGAACTAGATAAAGATATTGCAATCGGAAAAACATAAAACTTGATATGTGTGCTGGTATATTTGTTAATTAAAGTATAACTGTATATTAAAAAGTTGCGTTATTTATATAAGACCAGTTTTCGCCCGCGACTCCGTCCCAGTGAATTAAAAAAACAGAAAAGTAGCATGTTTGTATTTCATCGAGATTAATCAGCCGTTTTGGCTACAAACCCTAAGAAACATACGTCCATCTAAACTTTCGCATTTAAAATATTAGTAAGATTAGTAATATAATGGATAATACATGGCCGTGTTCGAATGAATGCGTTGTCACCCTGAGCAACCGCTCAATGATTTCAAGCGAGCTGTTCACGGCTTAGTGGCGTGTTAATGCGCTTATAATATGTTAAGTCGACTTTCGTTATATCATATTACTGTGCAGTTATAGAATGTTACATTTTCAATATTATAACTTAATCAAAAGTTTAAGCTCATCCGTGTTTAAAAATTACGTAATTTGTCATTTTTAGAACAAGACTTGTGACCCAAATAAATTTACTAAAAAAATCTGTATGATGAAAAGAAACTATAATCCTGTCAAATTAAAAGCAATTAAGCAATTCCTTAATTAATTTTCATCTAATTATAAATAAATGCTTACAGTTTTAACAAATTTTTCTTTGCATCCCAGTATCAAGAAGTAATTTGCAACAACTTCAGACAAATACAAAGTTTTCGTAGTTTGAGGTTATATAAAAACCGATAATATAGAGTCCTAACATCTACACTTAGGTGGGTATATCTCAAGAACACTATGCATGTATATGACTTTTAACTTCTAAATAAATAAGAAACACATTAAACCCACGAAAGAGTCAATTTTTATGTAGAACTGGCGCATCAGATAATCCAAATTGGGTTTGAGGCGTAAACTCGATTTGATCGTGTATTCCGTTTTATCGACTGCTTGATAAATTGAATGAGATATGATCGAGGCTATGAGGTAGTGCGAATTCAATCTAAAAAATAAAAACACGAACTCACCTCAGCGATAATAGCGCCCTCTGATAGCTTTTTGATAAGAAATCTAAATTGAATATAGTTTTCAGACAACAGGAAAAGTTAGAGCAGTTCATAGGATTGCTAATGAATCGAAATTAAATTCTCAATAGAGGAAGTCCTTTCTACGCACAATGTCAACTCGTTGACCTTACGCAGTTTAGGAGTGACATAATTTAAAGTAGGTACACCACTAAACACTTTTCCAAGAGGAAGTAAGATCGGAGTAATGTAATCGGAGCAGTAACTCCCACTTTATCTCAAAAGAAACGAACAAATAGTTCAAAAAGAATGAAACAAATTATAACGTAGGATAAAGGTGTAGTAGCGGTGAACTAAAGCCGGGTAAACTCAACGATGTTGACTTCAAAATTGGGTCGCTCGTATTTTACAAAAATGATTCTGATGCAATCCGCTCCACATTTTGATTGAATGTTCTTTCCGAGCATCATCAATGACACTTAATTCGCTTGAATCGCAACGAAATTTTATGTTTCAAAATAAGAGCTGGTAGCATCATATCATGAATGTCAAGTGCGCTATTTTTGATGATAACTTTTGTAATATTCTTCCAGAGAGCTGAACTTAACCGGACATACAATTAACTTAATAGTCTAAAATTCGTCGAATGCTTAAAAGTGCTAAAAAGCATTTTAGGAGCCATGTATTAATACAGCGTAACACAAAGAATGAATGAATTAATTTGTCCAGCTCAAGGGAAACTTGGTTACTTAGATATGAAGTATGTCTGTGTTACAATAAGCAATCAGTAAACACATGTGAATATTTTATTCAGGTAAGTAACAAGTTTAGTTAATCAGCCGATGTGACGGGTATAGGCCAATAGAAGCCGCTCTCAGCAAATTAGTCGCCGGGTATCGGGGGCAAGCCTTTTATCAGGTCAATGGTTAGGCGTGGACTCACGCGACTTGCCTTCTATTTAGGCTCACTTTAGCAGCGCGTAGCGTGTGTAGTGTTACACATGTGGACAATTTACACCAGATTTTAAGTAAAGAATGAGTACTGAATTGTGTACGATAATAAACGATGCTATGATAGAGTTACTCCGCCCTAAAGTATGTCATAGAAGTTTGCAAAGTAAACACTTTATAAGGTTTCGGATACATCAGTTTACCCTATGATTTTATATTTTCCCCTCAAACCTTTTTTCCGAGTTACATTTACTGATCCAAATATTTTCAGACATTGGGAATTGCTCGCCTTTTTTGTTTTTTTGGCCGTGAACTTTTGAATTGTAGGAATTCTAAATATCTAGTAATAAACATTTGATCTCATTTTTATCGTTATATTAATATGTTCTCAAAACCTGCGTTAGTTTTATGATGATTTACTTAACATTAACTTGAGGTGAATTGTTATTTGATAGCACAGGCATGTCTGGAGACAATAGCCTGCCGCCGCAGCAGCACTCGACTCAGCTCTCGACAATTGATCGCCTGCCTCCTGTGTCCAGTAATTACACTGGTCCCTCCCCAATGATAACGACCATTGTTTGGCGAATAGCTTAAATTTCTATCTACGTACAAATCAAGTTAGATAGACTTGAACAGTCTTTTTAGCTTTAGTTTAGTTTATCTTTAGAATTCCTGTTATAAGACTTACCTCGGTTGTTTAGCAATCAATCTGAATACATACCTAAAATACTCCAATTTGCCAAGTCACTCGAAATCAGGTTAATTGTTGTTTGGAGTATTAAAAAAAGACATTTAAATAAAACATCATCAAAATTCAATAAAGTGAAGAGAGGGGTAACAGAGCTCGAGTTAGAGTTTTAAAACGATCTTTTTATTCGTATTTGCATGAATCAAAACAAGGCGCCATGCGGGGCGGTGCG